ATCAGTTATTCCTGGCTCCTTAGGTACATGGAGGTTGGGGAAGGCTGAAAGCTACTTCTGAGTGTCTTAGAGTTGTATCTAGTCAGTTATTCCTGTATCCTTAGGTACGTGGAGGTTGGGGAAGGCTGAAAGCTACTTCTGAGTGTCTTAGAGTTGTATCTAGTCAGTTATTCCTGTATCCTTAGGTACGTGGAGGTTGGGGAAGGCTGAAAGCTACTTCTGAGTGTCTTAGAGTTGTATCTAGTCAGTTATTCCTGTATCCTTAGGTACGTGGAGGTTGGGGAAGGCTGAAAGCTACTTCTGAGTGTCTTAGAGTTGTATCTAGTCAGTTATTCCTGTATCCTTAGGTACGTGGAGGTTAGGGAAGGCTCAAAGCTACTTCTGAGTGTCTTAGAGTTGTATCTAGATCAGTTATTCCTGTATCCTTAGGTACGTGGAGGTTGGGGAAGGCTGAAAGCTACTTCTGAGTGTCTTAGAGTTGTATCTAGTCAGTTATTCCTGTATCCTTAGGTACGTGGAGGTTGGGGAAGGCTGAAAGCTACTTCTGAGTGTCTTAGAGTTGTATCTAGTCAGTTATTCCTGTATCCTTAGGAACATGGAGGTTGGGGAAGGCTGAAAGCTACTTCTGAGTGTCTTAGAGTTGTATCTAGTCAGTTATTCCTGTATCCTTAGGTACGTGGAGGTTAGGGAAGGCTCAAAGCTCCTTCTGAGTCTCTTAGAGTTGTATCTAGATCAGTTATTCCTGTATCCTTAGGTACGTGGAGGTTGGAGAAGGCTGAAAGCTACTTCTGAGTGTCTTAGAGTTGTATCTAGTCAGTTATTCCTGGCTCCTTAGGTACGTGGAGGTTGGGGAAGGCTCAAAGCTCCTTCTGAGTCTCTTAGAGTTGTATCTAGATCAGTTATTCCTGTATCCTTAGGTACGTGGAGGTTGGGGAAGGCTGAAAGCTACTTCTGAGTGTCTTAGAGTTGTATCTAGTCAGTTATTCCTGGCTCCTTAGGTACGTGGAGGTTGGGGAAGGCTGAAAGCTACTTCTGAGTCTCTTAGAGTTGTATCTAGTCAGTTATTCCTGGCTCCTTAGGTACATGGAGGTTAGGGAAGGATCAAAGCTCCTTCTGTATCTCTTAAAGTTGTATCTAGTCAGTTATTCCTGGCTCCTTAGGAACATGGAGGTTGAGGAAGGCTGAAAGCTACTTCTGAGTGTCTTAGAGTTGTATCTAGTCAGTTATTCCTGTATCCTTAGGTACGTGGGGGTGCCTTTAAGATACATGGAGGTTCTAAGGTACATGGAGGCACCTCTAAGCTACACGTCGGTTGAGGAAGGTTGAAAGGTACTTCTCTATCTCTTAGAGTTGTACCTAGGTAAGTTATTCCTGTATCCTTAGGTACATGGGGGTGCCTTTGAGATACATGGAGGTTCTAAGGTACATGGAGGCACCTCTAAGCTACAAGGCGGTTGAGGAAGGTTGAAAGGTACTTCTGTATCTCTTAGAGTTGTATCTAGGTCAGTTATTCCTGGCTCCTTAGGAACATGGAGGTTGAGTAAGGCTGAAAGCTACTTCTGTATCTCTTAGAGTTGTATCTAGGTAAGATATTCCTGGCTACTTATATGTACATGGAGGTACCTCTAAGCTACATGGAGGTAGGGGAAGGCTGAAAGCTACTTCTGTATCTCTTAGAGTTGTATCTAGTCAGTTATTCCTGTATCTTTAGATGCATAGGGGTGCCTTTAAGATACATGGAGATTCTAAGGTACATGGAGGTTCTAAGGTACATGGAGGCACCTCTAAGCTACACGGCGGTTGAGGAAGGTTGAAAGGTACTTCTGTATCTCTTAGAGTTGTATCTGGGTCAGTTATTCTTGGCTTCACAGTCCAGTGAGAGGCAGAGGTGGGTGGAGAGATGCACTCCGTCGTCCGTACTGCCTCCAGGACTCTGGACCTGTCCTGCGACCTCCTGACCTACTGACACTCACTTCCTGCTTCAGTCTTTCTTCCTTTGTTTCCTCAAACTTTTTTTGTTTTTAATTGTTGACTAGTTGCTCTAGTTCATGGCTAAGGAAGAGTTTTGAGTTTTCTGCTTCTGTTGTTTGTTAAATGAATTTTGTTTGAACTCTTTCATAAGTTTTATTATTGCTAGTGAATTATGATCCAGCCTCCAGTGTGCATGTAGGGCAAATATTAAATGAGGTCAAGTGCGTAATGAAATGTAGACCAGTAGACCTTTGATACTGAATTAGCTGAAATCTTTAGCCAGAAAAAAATAAAAGCTTTTAGTGATCATCTACTGGGCTTTGTTTGACTTTAACTCCCTGATATGTCACATTATGATGTGATTAAAGCTTTTCACAGGATTGAACCAGCGACCTTTTTATCACCATCTAACCACTCAGCTTCCTTATGTAAAATTGGAAACAAATGGTGCTGATTCCTCTTGTAAATCGTGGTTATTTAAAATTTGCTTTGTTTTGTGTTTTTCACTGCAAACGCCATCAAGTTTTCAAAATGGTTAACACTTTTCCCACCATAGCTAGACTTATTAAAGGTTGTGTTTGGAAAAATTATAAAGATTTATTTTAAAACCGTTTCAATTTAAAATATGAAGCTGATTTACACACCTGTTTATCGTAATAACAAAATTCAACTAATCCGTTTGACTTTTCCATTAACTACACCTTTTCACGTTCACAGTAGTTGTATGACATTACATAAATGAACTCCGAACCAAAGATTAATCTTTAACATAACCTATGAATACACATATAACACAATACCAGACCCACATCTCTGAAAAAACCCGATATTTTAAACTACGAAAAAACAGTAAAGAACCATCATACGCAACTGATAAGTGATAACAATCGGAAAAGGCGACATGCGGTTCCTGTATGGATGTGATAAAGCCTGCCAAATATAGCTCAAGAGGTGTCAACTGAGAGAGGCTTCATGTAACCACTCATTGCCTGCCTCTCTGTGAATCAGTGTTTCTCATTGTTACTGAATGGCTTGGTGTGCGAACTTGTTACTTATCGTACTCTGTGTTAAATCTGTACACACGTGTAAGTTTGTTTTTCTCTTTTATATATATAACTTGTTATTTGTTGTTTGTTACTCTGTAGTGTATCACTTTTATACCAACTACTATTTTACTTTTTCTCCCAAGTGTGAAGTGTAGTACTTGGTTAATATTTGAACATGTGACAGTTTTAAGTAACTAGTATTAATGTTTTCTACATTCAACTTCTTTAATCAGCTGTTGTTTATTTGTGACTGTTCTTAACTTTAGCTGATGACATGTTCTGTACAAATCCCTATAAAACGTTTCTCAAATTGTTTCTTGGTTCCTTGAGAAGTAACAATTGTGCTTTCATAAAGACTATTTTGTTCTGGTTCAGAATTTTTCTAAAATATCGGTATAGTAATTTTTATTATTTGTAAGAGTAAGAGGAGGATGAGTGCTAAATTATGCTTTCCTCTACTTAATAATTACTTGTTTATTCTAATTAAACTTAAGTTTTAATAGATATGTCAGATATAAAAGGAATATAAAGCTTCCTGAGTATGATAAACGTTAAATAGTACTTTATGGTTTATAGTCAAACGGAATGAATTATTAATGAAAATTCTACATTTTACTGTTTTTACATCATAAATGTACCCCCAAACAAGCATAAACCATGTGTAGTCACTCAATCTTCTCTGTAAGATAATGGTTGTACAATCTCAACTTGACATAATAAAACACAGTTCAAGTTGTTGCGATATTATTTTGACAAGTTCAACAAGTAGAAAATATCTTGACCCTGTTTAAATCTGTGCTGTAGATAAAGCCAAAATATATGTCACTACATATTTGTTGATTGATATTCACAGGGTTTAAAATGTGTTATGTTTATTAAATGAATTGCTGCATAATATTGATGGCTTGACAACATATTTCGGTTGTAGAATGAGTTTTGAGATGGAATGTACGTTTCCATGTGTAGCTATTAAAAAAATTATTTTTCTAGTCGCCAACTTGTTTATTATGTACTTCTAGACTCTCAACTTAGAGTAGAATTTATGTACTCTAAATAGTACTTGTTGTTAGGGCTCTTCCTTGCTTGTCACAAGTATATTTGCCACATAACATACCATAGCAGAAAGCGCACGGTTGTCCCATAAGCGAGTTTCCTCTATACCTTACCTCTCTGTCAATTTATGTATCTGCCAATCCTAAAAACTATTTTGAACACCCCTTCAACCCAAGGGTAAAACATCAGAGAAAAGAATTAAGTTACCAGCCATTTCTATGTCAGCAGCACTTGCTTCAGTTACACTTCTTGGTCTTACCTACAGATCACTCAAAACTGTGATATGCAGCTGCCATTGTTAAACTCAGCAATCACTAAGCTTGTACCTCAGAGAAGTAAGCAAGGAACAGAGAAAATATCCAGTGGCATGTTTAAGTTGTGTCTAGCACTAATGCTCTGGTGTCTAGGGCAAAGTCCAACACCACCCCCTTGCCATCGAGTACTACAACATTCGCGGTAGCTGAAAAACCCTGTGTGATAGGAATTTCGCACAGTGCTCGTCATTCGGGCTCTTCATTGCTCGTCGCAAGTATACTTCAAGAAAACATACTAGAACTGAAAGCACACTGTTGTCCCATAAGCAAGTGTTCTCTCTTCATTTTCTGTGGCAATGTGGCATGTACCTTACTCTTACTCCCATGGCCATGGATATCCTAGGTGGTATTTGGCCAATAAGTTGCCATCCCTCCCTTTTCTCTGAATCTTCTTTCCTTGCTCTCAATTTTCGCAAATCTTTCTCCACCTGGTCCTTCCATCGATTCTTGGGTCTTTCTTGGGCAAGTACCTAGTGGGCATTGTTAGGCACTAGGAACCCAACAACCTAGCCAGTTAGGTGGGCAATGAGCATATATCCCTGCTCATCTGTTATTGCTTAATCATAAGATAACACTTCTGTGTATGTAGCCTAAACGTAGTGTTTGTTTGTTACAGTGTGTATGAGATGCCACGAGACTGTGGCAGTGTGCTGGGTCAGTGGCCTCATGGCCTCAGCTCAGTGTTGGCCTCTCTGGGCTGCACTCTCGGCCTCTTCAACATCAGCAGGTTCGCGATACTCAGCGTTCAGTTTGGTGGTAAGTGTTTTTGAAACGTTGTGAAAGGTGTTTAAATTAAATTAAATGGGATATTTCCTTGTGGGCTACTCGGTTATATCTGTCAATATAGGATGTACCTATGTGGAAAAGTTTGATAAATTCTTTGAAAGTGTGTTTCAGATTAACTTTTGCTCCACATTGCTCTAAATTTTCAACTTTCTATCAAAGAATAAAAAAAGTATTTTTGCTTCCGTTTCTCTTGCTTCAAGGTTAATTTACTCTGTATAATGTTTTGGATTAAGGTGATAGTATTGAAAAACAACCCTTAAGTCTATTAGTCCCAACCAGTTTCTCCAACTGCTATAGTATTTCAGTGAAGTTATACTTACAAACTCAAACAGTCGATGTAAATTTGACAAATTTGTGAACAAAGATGCTAAACTCTCTCAATTGATAAATTTGAAATCATACCATTTACTAGGCAGATCAAATATCTATTGGTGACTCTTTGATGATGGTTTTATCTGGGTTCAGTATATATATGAACAAAATATGTTGTGGCAGGAAAGACCACGTTTTTACCAACCGTCTCTGGCTGGATTGTAGCAATATTCCTTAAATCTTTGATGGCAAATTTTGCTCTTCAGGGTAATATTTTAAATTTTAATAATGTATTTAGAAATTATAGGTCAAGACAATATTTTTCTACCCTAAATGTTCAGTAGAATACTTACAAAAGAAGTGTCAACAAAAAGAATGCAAGCGACAGCACTTGCAGGTTCCTTATAAACCCCTTGAACACAGCTTGTTAAAAAAACCAATATGTCTTACATCAACACTTTACATCAATAGTATTTACTAAGTTATCCTGCAGTAAGAGTTGTATTAATCCTGTGTGTTTGTTGCAGCCAACTTCTTCCTACAGTTCCTCATCATGTCGGCGCTTGTCGGCATTCCTCTCTTCACCTTCCATGTGTCCCTTGGACAGTTGCTGGCCGCTGGCACCATGGACATGTGGAGGATATCCCCAGTGTTTCAGGTTGGTAACCATGCATCAGCTACAACGTTTCCCTCAACGGTTTATTGGCATAGTTTTTATCTTTGATATTCTACAAGGCGGGGTACTTTTGGTACACTACACGTTTAGGAACACCGATATGTTTACTACAGTCCACTTCATTTTAAATGTATGCAAACACCAACACAACCAGCAAGATTAATTAAAGAACATAATTAAAACACACCCAAGTGGTCTGGAAGCTACTGAGCGAGTGGAAAAAGCATCGTGTGAACGAATACAAGCGCACTCGCCGACTTCCCAGCTTCTTACACGCTGGCGTGAAGCTTGTAAACTCGCCCCGTGTGAACCGGGCTTAAGAGTCCTTGGAGCCTAGATGTGCTTAAGTCACAAAACAATTACATAACAAAAAATTCTACTCTTATAGTTCCTTAGATATTTAAATTACAATGACTTGATATTTGATTAGCCATCATGAACTCTCTTGGAAAACAATTACAAATCTACTTTACAATGAAATATTCTCATCTAATAGTGTCCCGGATATTTAAATTACAATAACTTGGACAAAAAATATTTTTGGATGATAACACTTCAGCACCGGTTTGAAATTAATCTAAGATGGCCGCTAGCCTTCAAGGATTCTTAACAGGATTTCACCTAATGTCCGCTGTCCTGTTGCAGGGTGTAGGCATAGCTCTACTCCTTTCCCAAGCTCTCCTGGGTATCTACAGCATAGTAGGAGTATCCTGGATGTTTATATACTTCAGAGACTCCTTCATCACTAAGCAGGACATTTACCGGTGGGCCGAGCCTTTCAACGCTTATAGAGATGGTAAGTTTCAAATTTTAATATCAAACATAGTAGCTTAGTCGTAGGGTAGTCTGATAACCAAGACATAACTGGTTCAGACTAGTCTGGGCTATCTTATCTTTGTATGGGGCTTGTTAATGGGGCCTGAACAGTGTTTAGGAACACCACACGGAGTAGTAAACTTAGGAAATGACCAATTGAAACTATGTAAGGGTTCAAGTCTATAGAGTTATTATGGCCTTATCAAGAGTTACCCTTTAAGTTTTAGCGTTTTAGTTATGTGATTCATACATAAGTCCTACCTTGTGACCACAACAACTATGAACAAACATTTAGCTAACAGCTGGTCAATTTAAATAGGGTTTTTTTCTACTTCAGTATACAAAAGTCAATAATTATTCTACTCTGAATCATTGTTCACATCACTTTATGCTAGGGGTTGCAGTATTGTCATTCAGATAAAATCTATTGGTGATTTGGCCAGATTTGAACCAGGGAACCAAGGGATCAAAGTCCTGCGCTCTACCACTTAGACCAGCTTGCTACCCCAAAAGTCAATAATAGTATATAGATCCATAGAAAAGCTAATTGCTTAAACGAAGAATAGAGAATTTGGATCCACCAAATGATAATTAAGAATGTAGTTCAACCCTCCGCCAGTATGATTGCAAACATTGTTCTCATTGGCTAAACATCTACTCACAAGAGTCACTAGTTTGATCCCCGACAAATACAGAAAAATTTTAGGGAATTTGAACACATTCGGTGATTATGATGTAATGTAAATGTGTTGTAGACATAAAAAAATCCTTACAAAACACCACTACCACACTACTTAACTAATTATGTTACAGACGGCCAGTCGATGCTATACAACACAACGCCAGTCAAGATAGAGGAGACGGTTCCGGACTACTTCAGCGGAGTTGTGCTCCAGAGGAACCTCAGCAATCCTGGAGGATCTCCCGGACATCTCAAGTTCCAGGCTACCTTCAACCTAGCCGTCGTCTGGATGCTAGTATTCATATCTCTTAGTAAAGGTAGGCTTGCATGGATTCTTTATCATAGATATTGATATTATTGGTAGATTGTTCTTAGTTGCTCAATATATGGAGGATTTCTTTGAGGGGAGGGGGCTTGTGGTATTGGTTTTGTTACACCACGAGAGGATGGCTCGGAAACCCACAATATATGAAGTTTTGTAAGTTGCAAAAGGCATGATGGAACCTTAGTCTTGGGATGGTAAAAAGAGTACAAATTATTAATAACGTTGGGTTCCAACGTAACGAAACGTAACGTTTGGGTTTAAACCATTGAAAAGCAAATGATTTTCAATGGTCAAACAACATACAAACACAAACTTAACTATCGAACAAGGAACATTTTTACATGTAAAATAAGCCGTGAGTATAAATTATACTATTTAATTACCATATCATGTTAGCGTTAAACCTTTGACCAAATTTAAATTCAACCATAAACAAAGGAATAAATATAGACTGACATCAGTGCTGCAGTTAGCATATGTTCTGCCATCCACCGCTAGGAGTGCCAAAAAGTTGTTGTGGTGCACAACGCTGCATTGTATGCTGGTAGCATATGGCGAGGAGCCGACGATGGCAGCGAATCGGACACCGAGCATGCCACGGCATATCGCGAAGACTTCCTTTGACAGTCTATATTTATTCTATTTGTCTATGCTTTGACTATTTATTGAACTAGACAGCCCAGCGCCATGTTGATGTTGTCGTCAGTTTTTAATTCAATTGGACGTAGTTGATGTGATCAACCGACGTATTGCACTGATATAAATCACTGGTTTCATACGATTATGCAGGTTTTTTTTATCCAAGTCAAACTAATAAGACGACTTCTTGTAAGATATATGTTATCAACTATCTCAGTAACAAAGAATAAGAACAAAAATAGAATTTTAGACACTAGCACATTTTATGACTGGCGCATAGAATTGTGATGTTTTGAATAAAAAATTGGCAACAGCTGATCCATATAGATGGAATGTCTACTTTGCAGTACTCAAAACAAAAGTCAACACACTGGCTACTTATGATGTTGTAGACTGTAGCGATTTTAATATTCCTATACCAAATTTGCTTTTACAATTAGGAAAAACAAATCTGATTGTTTCAGGTCTTAAATCCTACGGGAAGGTGGTGTACCTGTTTTCTCTAGTCCCTGTTTTCGGCATGTTGCTCTTCTGTTCAAAGTTGCTCGGTTTCATGCCAGCGGACCCAAAGTTTCAGTTTCTCTTTCCGGAAACTGAGTGGAGCGAGTTCTTTCTAAACACAAAGGTATTTCTTGAAAATTTGTTGTAAAGCGATTACTTCGTGTAGGAATTTTGAGAACTGTAGAATGTTTTTGAGTTGTATTTTTGAAGTAACGCCACTTTGCACTGAATATTTCCTAGTTTTAAATTTAAAGTTTGATAGTTCTATAATTCACATACCATTTAGGTATTCGTAAAAGTTTTAAAAACTACTGATTTGTTAAAATTGTGCACGTCAAATGTTAATCATAAAGGTATTTAGAATAGTTTCATCAAAAAGAAAATTTCAATAATTTGCATACTCAACAATGTAACCATCACCTCCTTTGTTTTATAGAGTTGGGTGGCCGCAAGTACGGAAGCCTTCTACACGTGGGGTCTGCTAGGGGCTGCTGCGATGCAAGTTGCGTCTCACAACCGTCCGAAGCACTACCTTCACCGAGACACTGCCATCGTCATCGTCTTCACTCTGTCCATCCTAGCTCTGTCAGCCTTCCTGGCCAACTCTTGTACGCAGATACTGCTGGCCCACGGATACATTTACTTGCCTAGCTCGTTTGGTGAGGAATATTGCTATACTGATTACGATGTTTGGGTGTTTTGTTTGCCTAGTAGTTAGCGTATATTGCCTATTGTCTATTGGTGTGAGAAGGACTGGGTAAATTTACTGTATAACCACAAAAAAAGCTTGGTTTTGATCGCTTTCCCTCTAAAGTTAGTAGGGGTGATTTTTTTTTTACCAAATGTACAGACCCACCTAAAATAAACATCACACCGCTAGATTTAAGTTGAAAAGGTGAGTGTACTATTAGTTACCTCTCAATACACAAATAATTTTTATCCCAGCTGAAATACTTATCGATCATAAAATTTTTGTCAATCATACACATTAATCAATGCACTTGAGGTACTTCTTTATAATACTGATGAAAAATATTTGTCAACAGAACGCATGTCCACATACGCATTTCTGCACCCGGTGAAACAGCCGCTGCCCCACGCGTACGCAGGGACACCTGTACGATGGTTGACACATTCCCAGTTTGTGGTCGGAGAGGCTGTAGCCATGCCAGGGACCAACCCTCGACAACAGAGCGGCTACCAAGCGCTACGATTGGCCACAGAACTCGTTCCGTCCACACTCGCTCTCATCGGAGCTAACAATCTGTCCCCGTTCTGGTCCGTGTTGTTCTACTTCGTTCTCATCTTGTTCGGCATAGCACAACAGGTGGGTGTGTTTGTAAAGGTGTCTGAAGTAGATTTTTGTTAGTTGAGGTTAACACAGATGTTAGTTAGTTTTTTTGGAGGTTAGTTAGTTAATTCTAGAGGGGTTTGTTAGAATTGCATTTTGTCCAAACCAAAGCACAAGTTCCTAATGTTAAACAAGTTATTAAATTGTTGGTGTATGACTCAGAGATTAGATCGTTAATTCTAGAGGGCGAAGTTGGAATTGTACTTTGTACAAACAAATGAAGGAGTCTCTAACGTTGAACAAGTTAATGGACTGTGTTAGCTAATAAAATGAATTAACATCAACAGTAAATGTTATTTTAGTGGCACTGAAAATCTATGTTATTCTAAAACCCTCTATTCGAAAAAAGAATCAACAATACTTAAACCAGTGAATGCTTTAAGTTAAGATACATGTTGCATTATTATATGTTCTATTCTTTGGTTGCAGTGATTTTCCAAAGATTATATGATTTATACATTGTTTTGACTTTTACAGCTGGCAATTTGGCATTGCCTGATCACTGGGATCATGGCAATAAACATTAAGAAACTGAAGAACTGGGAAACGACCATAACCTTCTTCACTTGCGCCTGTGGTTTCATACTGGGCCTTCCAATGGCCACCCAGGTATGTGTTACTGCTGTATTGTGTACGGAGATAAAATTAAAATTACCATCAAACTACCATTGTAGATCATCATGTCAACTTTTTACCTATTCTGTTTTGTCAGAAAAATCAAATTACAATTTTTGTAGAGATTATTTCTAAACTTTAGTTCTTCTCACATCTTCCTAACAATTCACTCTTAATTTTCAGTTCGGCATCTTCGTGGTGTACTTCCTCGACTACACTGTCGGCGGAGGCTGGTGGATCTTGTGCCTCTACCTGGTGGAGATCATGGCGGTGTTCATGGTCCGAGGCCGTCCGTACAGTGGGGAAACTGTAGTGACAGCGTTGTTCTCACGGGCTGGATCCTTCTTACAGAACTTCATTGCACCTCTACTCTCCTTCGTGTGGAACGTGATTCTGCCTGTGCTTATGATGGTATATATTTTTTACATGATGACCACAGTTGGAATATTTTTATCAATTATTTTTTATCAATTATTTAAGATGGGGACGCCACTATGTGCGTATTTTAACCCAAATATGAGTGAAGGATGAGTGTAGGATGAGTGGCGCGATCTTGTAGTCTTGTTAGTGACTAAGGCCGACATATTCCTTAGACACAGCTGTTAATTAATAGCCCATACAGCTAATGGCAACTAAGGGACCTACAGTTTATAGTGGAATCCGAACCACATTTTTCCTTGTAATTTACGAATATTAACATGGCTCCAGTTTTAATTTTTTTTTATATGTTTAATTTAATCTCTCTAGAAATCCATAAGTTATTAAGACCAAATATATATCAGTGTTTAAGCAAAATGTGAAATATTTAAAATAACTGTAGTGTACAGATAAATTAGTTTAGATGTTTACTACATATAACATATGTTAAGTCTTTGGAAAACAAAAGACGTTTGGTTCTAAAGATGATGTCATAAATTCGTAGCAAATAAAATAGCCTAATAACTGATTAGAATGTCTGTTGGTTTTATTGTTCCTGAAGGACCTATATATGTCATTGGACTTAAAATTGTGAAGTAACAAACAGTTGATGTAATATAATTACAAGATCAGCTTTTAGAATTTTCCTTCACAAAAATCATAAGAAAAACCCCATTTGTTTGAAATACTCGAAGAAATTTAATATAGGTAACTAATAAGTCTAAAGATCTTGATCACATTGTTTAATCTATTTCAACTAATCCGCTTTCATAATAAACTACAATAAACTAAACCCCATCCCTCTCTGCAGGTAGTTTTCATTACAATCTTCAAGAACGGACAGTTTCGAGACTGGTTTCGCTGGAGCGCTCCGATGTTGTACGACTACTGGCCGTCGTGGTCCCGTGAATTTGGATGTCTTCTACAAATACTGCCTTTGTTGACGATTCCATTCATCGGACTTGTGCAAAGTTGTCGTTATCTCTCAGACGGGCCGCCGGACATCTTAGATGTAAGTATTAGATACTTGGCTAAGTAATGAGTAAGTCTTAGTATGTGTAACTACCTAAAATATTTATTGTTTACTGGCAGACTTTTCAACTACAGGAAGGTTTAAGGTAGAGAAACGTATCAAATTCAATATTATTATTTGAATTTTGAGATGTTTTAAGTCAAATCTTAATATTTGTAATTGAAAAATCGGTATTTTTAAAGGGAGCCTACCAGTAGACCGACAAGATACTTGGTCGTCTGGCCACTAGACCGTCTTTTTTAATTAAATAGATAAATACTGAAAACCAGTACGTCGACAAGTTATTTCATCGTCATTCCAGTTGACCGGCCTGTAAAACTAAATTATTATATACGAGAAACCTACTTGTCGTCAATCGACCCGACCGACTTACCACTTGCTCGTCTTTTAGGTGGGGATAGGGGGCAGAGTGGGAGGAGCTAACCGGGGATTACCCAGGAGTTTGAGGCGCTTCTCGTGGTTGAACCACGTCGCTCGAGGCTAGAAGCCAGTCTTGCCAACTGAAAGTAGCCTAGCTTCGTCGAACACTACACACTCGGCGTGTTTATACAGTCTGGAGTTTAGTTTACGTTGGCGCGCAATTCTAATGGATAGTTTCGTCGTTTCTATAGCAACCGTGAAGTGACCTCGTTCTCGCGCATTCCTCTGCCTTTGTATTATTTAATCTGCTTTGAAAGATAAGACTCGCTTATGTGCATTGACTATTGAATCAAATAACAATATCATTAGGGGGTTTTGATCGTTTGTTTGGATAAAACTACGTACCGTATATTGTAGAATTACATTTGTAGTGTGGTAATATGGTGTATATATATCTATCTATATATTAATAGGCAAGCATGTTTCTTTAAAACCTTTTTTCTCAGCTTGTGTGCATCGTGGGGTTAATCTGCGCATACCGTTAGAAAGCAATTTTCCTGTAGGTGTGCAGAATCCCTTTATAAATTTAAATAGGCTCAAAGATAAGCACAAAAAATGAGCTTAAAGATTTGAAAAAATTAACATGGATCTTATGCGTTGCCATGCTGGTGACGAAATAACAACTAAATATAAACAGAAAATCAAAACAAATGGAAGAAACTCCAATCACATGTTTTATTTACAGTGTGGGGTGAAAATAGAGAAGTGAGTACATTACATATTTTTGGTCGAGTTTCGACCACTGGACGACCTCTCGTATATAATTAATACGCTACATGAAACTTTGTCGGTTGAACTCCTCCGCCATTTCTTAACCGATTTTATCCATTGACATCTCATTGGAAAGAGCGTGTCGCGTAGATTTGCCAACTGGCCTTACATTTTTTACAAAGTCCCTTGGGTTCTGCCCCAGTGGCTTTGAAAGTTCCCATGTTATCCTTATGAAGAACATAATTGTTTACATTTTGATCAGCTGTATAATTTAATTACTGTTATTTATTTTTCGATTCAATGAAACGCATTGAGTAAATTTATTTACTATTTGAGTTTGTGTAAACATAACCCCCAAAACGAAAACGGACCGTGTCAGTATGGTTGTATCTTGAATTTATATATTTATCGTTGCTTTGTGTCGCTATGACAGATCGTGTTAGCATGATTGTAACTTAAATTTGTGCATTTATCGTTGTTTTGTGTAGCTATAATTTGTTTATTTGTTGTTTTTTTCTTTTAAATGCCTCCGACGCGACAACAACGAAACATAGAAAGGAGGCGTACACGTCAGCACCTGACCCTGGACAATCTCAACTATTAGGTTACGAATGCGAGCTAACACTACCCCTAAAAGACTTTTCGTTCTCAATTTGACCCTCTATCAATGACATGTGTTGCCTGTACAGCGAGGCATTTTGAGAAGGAGAAAACCAGCCGGAATGCTTAAGGTTTATCAATAACGAAGATCAGGGATTTAGGTAATCAGGGTCTGAGTTACACAATGGTAATATTTGAGTTGACTCTTTTTAAACTTTGAGTTAAACTTTTTTAAATATGACTGTTATTGGTTTTGAAATAACCCCTGTAATACTTTGCAATTGCTTGAATTTGAGCAACATGTACACTAGTATATATATAGGACCTGTGTATAATTTTGGGTAACATGGAGGTCAATTTACCTTGTGTAGGCCTATATCAAAAAAGTTTAATATCTTAAATTAATCCAAACGATTCATAGTAGCCAACAGGCACAAAGTATTGTAATTATGCAAGATGTTGTAAATTTCAAACATGTGTAACAGTTAAGTTTACTGCAACAGTAGTTCGTTAGGATTGCCTATTTAAGTAAGTTGTTATTAGGTGTATAAGTCGTTCATCAAGCGTCATGAGAAACGAAATCTGTTATAGAAGTGAAAAAATACAGTTAATCAAATGGTGCTGTATATAAAATATCTGCAAATAAAATCAGAGTTTTGTCTGTACACTGTTCAGAATGACATATTTTCCTCCTCGATAAGGGTTTACCTCCTCGCAAGTTATGTCAAAAAAGGTGTAATTGTAATTTTACTAAGAAAATTAAATCCAAAAAAAGGACTGGTTAATAGAACCAGATTAATGGCGAAAGTTATGAATGATGAAGTCTTGAAATTATTACTTGAAGTTCAGCTGGAAAACGAGTGTTCCTCTAAAATTCGTCCTCGAAAAGTTGGTCTTTATCTGCTAGAGCTGCATCCCCTGCTTACAGCATGGGGAATTGTACGTAACAATTTCAAGATGCCGCGCTTTTGATGATCTAAAAATAATGGTTAAAGAACAACGAAACCAAGGTCATTTGGCTGAAGACGTTAAGAGTGTTTACAAAAAGACATGGTATGTGAAGAGTTTCTTATTTAACATTTTAAAAGTAAGATAAACATTTTAACTGGTCTGTCAGTCAGTATTCTAAGCCTACTCTGTTAAAACCTTTATCAAAACAGTATTGAGCTTAAGATTTTTATTTACGGTTAGTTAAAAGTTAAGCGCTTAAAATTCTTCCTTTTTAGCGAATTTCCCTATAGGGAAGTAGCTATTACCGTAGGTCTCATGGTAAGACCTAAGCCCGGGACCGATTTACTTTTTAATTTTGATGTCCCCAGAGGCCAAAAACACCATTCGTTCAAATTTTTATATATCTATATATAGAGATATATATATATATATATATATATATATATATATGTGTCCATCCGCACGATAACTTGAGTAATTTTTGTCCGATTTTGATAAAATTTGGTTTGAAGGTGTAAGGCAGGATAAACTTGAACGAGTTCGCAAACCAGCATGATCGGACTATGGGAACGGGGGTTTATGGGGGGTTTTATGGGGTAAAAATAGGTTTTTCCCATTTTTGGCCCTAAAAACACAAAATTTCACAATTTATTTTCAAACCATTTTGTAGAGCTTAAAAAAACAAATAATTTAGTATATTGAAGCGTTATTATGCGCCTAATTGTTACGGAGAAAATTCAAAAGAATTGTAATTTTAAAATTCCCATGTTATTCTTATGGAGAATAAGTCAGCTGTTGTAGTTTGCTTGTTTATGAACATATTTTGATTGATTTTGGAAAATACTTTTATTTCTTACTAAACTATTTATAAAAAAAATCTTTTTTACCCTCCCTGTTGCAGCAAACCTAAGTACTCGTTAAACTAATTCTATTTAAATAGGAAAGAAATGTGCTATTTTTATGAAGGCATTTTAGTGTAAATCTAATCAGGTTAATGGAAATTCGCTTAGTCTGCAGGTTTGCTGCGGCGGGGGTATTTTGTATTGAGAAGTTAAAAGGTAATTAAATTTTTTTAATGATTTTTAAATAGGTACTGTATAGTTAATATTAACTGGAAACAACTAGTCTATACTAGAGTAACAAATTACAAAATACAATACAAAGGAAAAGGGCATTCCTATGAATGCTATTGAGCATTGATTATTTAATGTATTTGGGTTTTATGATGTATTACTAACCAAAGGAATACTTACTAACCAACCGCGATACCAGTGACTTAATAACGGTCAACAGATGTTGGGTATCACGAGCTTAAAGGATCGCTAGACAAAGTTGCCCGAATCGCATGGATGGTAAAATAACTTCTGGCGATGTCTAGAGAGATTGTTATTTAGAACACATGAAATCCTTTCTATAACATAAATGTCGGCTAATCGTGTGATTCCAAGTACTTTCGCCTGATTTGAAACATATTTCCAAGCCCGTGCCAATATTACTTGTTTCTGTTCGAAAAGGCCATTGCTGTGAGAATATCAGGTAAAACTAACATAGAAACTTGAAAAATACAAATTAACAATAAATTGGCAACATAATAAATAAGGAGCATTACTGATATCGCAAGTAAAACAAAAAAGACTTAACTATATAAGTAATCGCAATGGGAAGAGAACGCGGAAGAAAATAATGTCTGTATATGCTGTATATGCTGTGTATGCTAAGATCTGTATAGTCCTTGCCTTATATAATTGACAAATGCTTATATTCGCTCCAAACAAAAAAAATACCAAACCCTTCAAATATTTAAGTTGACGGGAGCGGGACCTACCACTTCTAAAGAACGCCACCGTGTCTGTCATCCCTATTCTCTTACTTAAGAACACCCCTAAAAACCTTCACCGAATAGGTAAGGTACTATCGTAAAAATAACGAGGAACTTATATAAATCAGTTTTAATTTACAATTCTCTGGACGTACATCACTGTGAGATCCGAAGTCTTGGGGAAAGTCCACGGGTGCAGGACTCGCCACTAGGGCGGTCAATATCTTCAAAAGAACGCCACCGCGTCTGCTTTCCCTAACTTAACAACACCCTTATAAGCCCTAAATGAATAGAGACTATCATAAATATGACAAGCACCTTTTACAACTTCTTTCCATTTCCAATCAACCTGACCTGTCCTTCATCGGCGTGAGAACGAAAGTATTGGGGAAGTCCAGAGAAGCCTAGAACTGCGTAGATGAAAGAGAAGCCGCGTTGGATGACCTTGCCACCCCTTCGCATACCTTCATCAGCAATA